AAGGGATACCATGACTAGATTGGGTGTTTAGTAGTTTAATGCAATAATAATACTCATAAAATAATAATGGGTTTGTAGGTGTTGGTAATTGGGGAAGGGTTGGGGCAACTTTTATAAAGGAGCAGGGAAAGTTCTTGGCAGGATGCAGATAAAAGACTGGATTTGCTGTGTGGAGGGAGAAAGAGGAAGATTGTTGTGTGTAAGGAAATAGTTCAAGATTGTGATGGTTTAGTGAAAAAAAATAAGGTCATCAAAGGTTTGTGGGTAATGGTAGGGACAGGAATTAACTCAGCTTTCACAGTATAGCAGCTAGAGATGGTTTATACCTTAAAAACAAATAAACCAAAACAACATGCTGCTGCCACCCTGCCCATTTTGTCTCTGTGCTTGGTCTCTTTATCCCATCCTTTTGTCTGTGCTTTGTCCTTGCAGACTGTGAGCTGCAAGGACCTGTGAGCTCTGGGGCCAGAACTGTCTTTCCCTCGATGTCCAGCACCTTTTGGCTGACATTGAGCTATATCTACTATTGCATATAAATAGAAAAAATCACATGGAAAAGATGTTTATGCACTATATTGTGCATCTCTGTGTTATTACTACATTTTAACCTCAGTGTTACCATGCCTGTCCACTGGATCTAATAGCCAGTAAAGTGAATGGGACCATTTTCATTTACATGGTTTCTATTACACTAGCCATTAAAATCCTTAACTTTATAGGCATTACACATCTTCAGGAAGAGACAGTCCCTGCCATGAAGCATATACTCTCCGAAAAAGGTGGGAGAAGAGAAAGAGGTGCAGTAATATTCCCCAGGTCACAAAAGAGGCCAATGGAAGGGATATAACCCTCATATTCTGGGTCCCAAGCCTATGTCCAATTCGCTAGACTATACACTATGAACTGTATGACATCGCAGTATATTATCTTATCCTTGGATCTGATCTGATGCCCCTTGAAAACACTGACTTTTAATGAAGAAGTTAGGAAGACAAGATAAATCTAACCATGTTGAGGCTCAAACACCACTCAGATGAAAATGTAAAAAGCCCTTATCACTCCTGTGTAGTCCTCCTACATATACTATAGGGTTGGGACAGGGAAGACAATGAATAACAGGATTCCTATATAATGTGTGTGGGAGAGCTGTGTTCTGGAGGAGAAATTAACTAATATCTAAAAGTATCCTGCTAAACTTTAAACCAGCTGTAACACAGGTGATTGTATAGAGATCAGTGGTCCTGCAATGTTTTCCTTTAAGATTAACGCAGTTAAAGTATCCAGCTCATGGGAGGGAGGAATTTGCTGTGAATTTTATCAAAATTTTAAAAATCACATTCAGAATTTTTTTTAATTGCACCTGGTGGCTGAGATGAGGCACCTCCATTTTTCATAATCCATGAAATCTGAGTGGAGTTTGTTGTGCACAAATATGTTGGAATGATGCGGGACATTACACTTCTTGAACATTATAGCTCAAGTGTTAATTGCATAATATACTTTTTTTCTTCATTCTTCACATGTCATATTCATAGAAAATAAGAGCGCTAAAATAATACCTAAAGCTTTCTACAAATTGTAGCTAGAAATGAGTAGCTTCCTGTACATGCCATAGATGCTCTAAATTATATGCAGCTGCAATTGCCCTGGAACAACTATTACAGCAACTCAAGATTCCTGAAGTGCTGCCCACCACATCATGACCAATAAATCTGGACTTACACTTAAACCATTTGTATTGCCAGAGTGGTACAGAAGGGGTGAGAGGTCTGGCTCCAAAGCTCCATTCAGAAGTGGGAATGAGGACAGAAGGATCCTTGTACACTTACACAAGATTATGAAATACTCTAATGTATGAAGAGGTCTGTTAAAGTTGAGTCAAGGTTAGCTAGTTATGCTGTTCTGTAATCTAGAATCTGTTGTCTAAAATATGAGTTGGACATAAGTAATGGGGTTTATATATTTGACTTTTGCTCACCTCATCAGACTCACTCCAGGTCAGTGGGGACTGGAAGTCCTTGCCATCTAGTGGCTGTTCAGTGATTCTGTCAGTGAATACAGGTTTATGTGGCTATGACACTAGCCATTCAAAGCTGCCACAGGCTAGGCATTGTACATCTCTAGTAAGAGACAGTCCCTGCCATGAAGTACTTACAGTCTGAATGGATAAGACAGCAGGTGGGAGATGGAGAGATGCAGTAACTTGCACTCTCCTACATGGCAACCATAGTCTACATGGTGGGTCACCTGGCACTTTTCACTCACACCTTCTTCATTAGAAAGGAAAATAAAAACAAAGACTAACAGCAAGGAAGGTCTGGAAGAAACTGTCAAGCTGCACCACTAGAGCAAAGGCAAAGTGATCATACATTTGTACAGACATGAGCTAAAAGGATACAGAGACAAAACAGGGAAACGAGGTTGGGGCATGCTGGCAAAGATTAATGGTGTTTTCCTGTTCAATATTTCAACATGTCCTACTCTCACAATAGTTTGCAAACAAAACACATCTCTGGCTTTCTGAAAGCCAGCTGCCAGGGCTGTTCCTTTTTTGCTGGGGACAGCACACAGAAACAGTTCAGATCTGTGTAATACTGTTATTTAATAATCAGACATACAAAGCTCTCTTAAGGCCTAATACAAACTCTGTTGGAGCCACTGAGGATCCTTTCACTGCTTTGGGGGGCTTTGGATCAAACTCTTATGGGCCATGCCACAGTTCTGATTTCAGTGGAAAATGATTCAAGAAGCAGGAGTATTAAGAAGACCAGCATGGAAGGAATCTACTTAAAACCATCAACTGGGAGAACCAAATATACAGCAAAGTGAATATACAGCAGAGAAGAAGATTTGAGGGGAATGGGACTCTTTAAACTTCCGTTCAGATCGCAGAGCTGGGACCAGGAGCTGCCTGCTGCTGGGGCAGGGGAACATTGTCCTGGTCGGGCTCCGAGCTCAAGGCCTGCCTCAGCAATAGTCAGCTCCGGGGGTCAGAGAGCAATCTCCCAGGCCCCACTCTGACTGCAGAGCCAGGGCCAGGAACTCCTTGAACCAGAAGAGCCCCACCCTGCTCAGGGCTGGTTGGGACCTGCCCCAGAACAGGACAAGTCACAGCCAGCCCCAGGCTGCACAGGGATGGCTCATTGGGCACAGGGCTTGTCCCCATGAGCATGGGATTGGAGAGCTCTGCAGCAGCAGCTCTCCTGCCCCGTGCACATCAGGACCCTTCCCAATGTGTCTGGGGTCAGGAGGCCAGCTGTCTCCCCCAGCTGTCTCCTGGCCCCATGCTCCCTAACTGCCCCTGGGCTAGCACCCACGGGGAGCCTGGAGCTCCTCCAGGCTGCAGCAGAGGGGCAAAGCAGGGTGTGGATGAGCGTGACTGTACAGTATGTAGTGCCGCAGACATATCTGTGGTGCCACATGCCTCACATTCTGCTGTTCTCTGTGCTGCAAGGAAGCAGTGCAGGAGTGTTTTTTGCTCTCTGGATATCTAAGGGTCAAAAAAACATGCGTAAAAAAAGCAAAGTGGTGGACGCAGGGGCAAGGTGCTGGCCCCAGTCTTCCCTACCCCACCTGGGGTAACCTGCTGCATGCCAGAGGGCACATGGCACAAGCATTCCCCAGGGACAACTAGCAGCAGCACAAGGTGTGTGGCCACTAGTTACCCCCAGGGAACCAAACATCCGCAGTCGTGTGAATGCGGCCATTGGAAGCAAATCTGCTCCCAAGAGGGAGCATGTGCAGATGTTCTCCTCCAGTATTTTTACTGTGCAGTAAGCCTGCTTCAAATTAATAGCATGTGTAGACACACCCTTAGTTTCCTATTAGAGCAAAAACACTTCCTTCTAACCATAATCAATGAAAGATGCAACATTGACATTTACTAGCAAATAAGTGTTGATAAAGTGCAATTGCTAGGCACACATGCATGCATGTATGTGCACAAACATGCACAAACATCTTTGTTCCTGACATCTTCTATAGTTCAGAAATGTGTTCAAGTTGTATAATTTAAAACTGGAGTTCAGTGTGATTGTAAAGGCAGTCTATAGCACAGGGTAGGGATGAGGACTGGAATCCAGACCTGGGTTCTAACCCTGGTCCTGCCCTGAGAACTTGGGCAAGTTAGTTCCATTTAATGAGCCTCAGTTTCCGCATTGATAAGTTGGGCTAATTATTATTCATTTATATGAAACTTTTACAGCTGTAGATGAAAAGGGCCAGATCAGTATTTTGCTTTATTGTGACTTCCTTCACTATCATTATACCATGAGCTATATCATGTTCCTAACTTTTGAATAGAAGGCAGAATAGAGATATTCCTAACTTTTAAATAGAGATCTCCAGAACATTGCTTTATTACATGCCTGACACTCAGATTAATCTCTGCTTTGCAAAGGCCTAAACGCATCAGAAATCATTCCTTGAGAACAGTCAGCTGAGACAGAGACCATTTAGCAGCATCTAGAACAATGCCTTTTAAGCCAGGAAAAACTTCTCTCCACAGAATTATAAAGAGCAAAATCCCAAGAATCTTACTTAATGCATCAATGAAAGAAGTCAAACTGCCTTTTGCCTTGGTCCATGCCATACTTAGCCAGACCACAAGTCCCTTCAGTCCAGTATCTTGCATCTCACAATGACAGAGTGGATACTAGAGACTAGAGTAGTTATGTGGGGCCTATCCAGACTGATCTGTCTCCTGCCCTTCTACTTTCAGCAGTCTGGAGGGTGGGGAACGGCCAAACTCTGGACACCATTTGATTGTCAAAAGGGGTTAATCTGGTCTTCAATAGACCATTCTAGTGCCCAATTTGAGTATTAATCATGTGTAAGGAGATTCCCCTTTGCATAGCGCAGAGACTTGGAAGGGTGCCTGTGCGAGGCCTTCATTTTGAATATTACCTTTTGAGTTCTTGTTGCTTGAAAATGGACAAAAGCACAGATTTTGCTTCAAGGAATTAATTTGCACTGTCATTCCTCATTATTGTTGTGTCCAGCCATGAAAGCCTCACAAGATGACCAGTGGGCCATGGATGAATGGGAAAGAATTGGAAAACATGGAGAAACTAAAAGAGAATAACAACAAAAATCATGCATCCATGGCACTGAAGAGATAGAACTGAAAGCAGAGGGTTCACACAAATTTTTATTGAAGGTCATTTTGCAATATGGTAACTTATGGCTTTGCTGTCAGTCTCCATAAAGCCACCTCTCATAACAACCAGGGGGAGAAAAAGAGGTTTGTTTAGAACCATTAGTGCACCCCTCCCCCACAGCCCCATTAGCAGGCCTTATTAAACCAACACAGACAAAGAGCAAAGATGCCCCTTGTTAATGGAGAGTCTCCAATAATTGCTCTGCTCTGCCGCTTCTTTTGGGGCCTGAATGGTCTTTGAATAATGTTTCTCTTTCTGTGGTTGCAGACAATGCCCTTACAGACTGCTTTAAGCGGTGCCAATCCCATTAGCAGAAGAATAGCAGAGCTTTCTGGATATGTGTGTGTGTGTATATATATATGTGTGTGTGTGTGTGTGTGTGTATGTATATGTGTGTGTGTGTGTGTGAGCACGAGCGTGCACGCATGCATGTGTGTATGTGTGTGTGCGCATTAGTGGTGATGGCTGGCTTACAGTGGGAACTAGGTCTAAATATGCCCACTGTTTGCACTTCCCAACATAAGAAATCAAAGCAGGAGAATGTTCTAGTGAAATTCCATTTCAGGTACCTTCTCCCTATTTAAACAGGGTCTAAGCTAAGTGGTTTTAGAAAGAATGTGCCTGCTGCTATTCTAGCACAAGGATGGGAATATCTGCTCATCAAAGGTAGGAATGAAAACAGTTAGCATGAAAATAAGAAAATATGGGGGTGCTGGACTCTGGGAGCAGGGGGAGTAAACTGACTTTTAGGCACTCTGACTGAGTCTAACTTTCTTCCTGCCTTCAGCAAGTAAGAAGTAAATTCCACTGAATGGAGTAAAAAAGTTGCATTCAGAATGAGATCCACTCTTTTCCTGTCTTTCCCTCCCTCCTCCTATACAGTGGATACATTTACATGTGAAATTAATTTGACTGAACAAACTCTGGCCTAGTTTGCACTGGAGTTCATTGCTCCTGGGCACAGCATTTACATGTATGCATCATAGGACTGCAGCACATTGAGCAGGTGGTGCAGCCCCAGCTGGCAGAGGGCTGGCATCAGCCTGCCAGCCTGGGTCTGTTCTGACCTGGCTCAACATGCTGCAGAGGGGCTGGCTGGGGCACAAGGGCGTTTCAGTGTGGTGCTAGCCAGCAGGCAGCCCCTACACGGAAGCACCCTCATGCCCAAGCCAGTCCCATCAGCGTCTACAAGTTTGTTGCAGCAGAGTAAATAACTCCACAGTAGGACAGTACTTGTGTTTGGCAGTGCTAACTACAGTGGAGTTAATTGGTTTACTCCAGTCTAATAGCTCTGCATGTGTAGATGGAGATGTTTTACTGCAGAGCTAAGTGTAGGTGGGTTACTGTCTACTCCACAGTAAATGTCTTGTGTAGATGCACCCAGTGGGCGCACCTACATGTTCATTAATGCACAGTAGTTACTGTGCATTTAGTTTAGTGATGGGTGATCAGTCGCGAACGAGTAAGATTGTCTTCCAAGGATCTTTGTAGTGAGTCCACAGGTGGCTACATAGCCCAATTCTAGATCCACATGTGTTGTCGCAGTGAGGACAGCTGTTTCCAGAAGGGATGGGCACTGTGTTGCTGTGTTGGATGTTCTGATGTTCTTTTCACCTGTTCCTCTTTTCCTCTTCTGCCTGTCGACAAACTGTTTCAAAGTGTTGAGGTCCCTCCGAAAAAGCCTTCTTCCATTTTGGTTGGTCCAGAGCAAGTGTCTCCCAAGTGTTAATACTGATGTTACACTTCTTCGTGTTTGCCTTCAGGTTGTCTTTGAAGTGCTTTTTTTGCCCTCCGCATACTTCTTTCAGCTATGAGAAAAAGATTCTCTTGGGAAGGCAGGAGTCAGGCATGCAAATGTGACCTGTCCAGTGAAGCTGGTTTTGGATGATCATGACCACAATGCTGTTGGAATTTGCTTCGGCCAAGACACTGATGTCCATGCATCTATCTTCCCAGCTAATCCAAAAAATCTTGCAATCCTTAGTTTAGTGCTTGCTTAATGAAGTACTAACTAAATGTATAGTAATTACAGTTGCTGTGCTTTAGCACCAGTGCATGGCTTTTTAGTGACGCTTATTGCGCAGTAGTTTAATACTACTGCACAGTAGCATATTAGCACAGTTTTTGACTGGCATGCTACTGTGCGGTGTTATTAGGCTACTGCTCATTAAGTGTCTCGTGTAGACATGCCCAGTATGTGCTTTAGGAGCAGTTGATTTCAAAGTGGCATTCATCCAGCCTTGCTGCCTGTGTTAATCTGCAAAGCACAAGACAGAGAAATAGATGCTGATGTATTTCTAAAGGGTTAACTTCTCTTTGTCATTCAAAATGAATATGAGGCTAATTAGTGTGTTAAATAGATGACCATATTCTAAACTTGGAGAAGTCAGCATACCTCTACTTGATTTTTTCTCTTTGATCTTTCTTTCTGTGTAATGAGTGAAAATAGTGTATATCAGGGCTAGCTCCAGTGTTTAATTTAATCATCTGATGATATTTATTTTCACAAACCTAAACTTACAAAACAATTATCAGGAAGGTTTTATCTTGTGCCTAATGCATCAGTTAATAGCCTTTCCAAAAGGTAATAGCTACCATGTAGGGAGTCAGTAATTAAAATGTGTGAAATAAAGGCTTAGTCTTCAGAGGAAGGGGACATGGTGGTGGGCCAAATCCTCAGCCAGTGTGAATTGGCTCAGCTCTTTAATGGTGGTGTTAAATTAAATAGTTCTCCCTATACATGCCAGCTCAGGATCTGACCAAAGGTTTCTGTGAGATGTACATAGCTCAGAGAAGAGAGGTTCTAATCCTTACAAAAAGGAGCCAAACTCTCAAATTAAATAATGGTCTGGTCCCTGGAAACAAGAACAGCATTTTACAGAAGTGATAGGAGGAGATTAGATTATGAGGAACAGAATTTGCTTTTAGCTGTTAGTCATACCAAAAATAAACTAAAGTTTCTATTGTTTTAGTTCACAGTGGGTGCATCTACATGTTCATTAATGTGCCACAGTTACTGCGCATTTAGTTTAGTTCTTCCTTAATGAAGTGCTAACTGAATGTGCAGTAACTACATTTACCAGGTAGGAGCTCCAGCGCATGTTTTTTGTGATGGTTACTGTGCAGTAGCCTAATAACACAGCTCAGTAGCTTATTAGCATGGCTTTTGACCGGCACCCTACTGCACAGTGTTATTAGGCTACTGTGTAATAAGTGTCTCATGTAGATATGCCCGGTGTTACCAGGCAATGATGCCCTCTGTCTCTTTTGCTGTTTGTCCTGGCTTCAGAGCCCAAGTAATAACTTTTTTAAAAGGCATATGCACAGAAGATTGGAATGTCTGAGGCTTTAAAATAGGCAGCAAATAGGCAAAAAGTTATTTCTGTGGATGGGTGATGTAGATCTGGAATTATATGTTTCTTTGTAATAAATGAGTCAGCCACTAGGTGCCTTTGTGTACTGTAGACTGTTTCAGACAGAGTGCGGATTCTGATAAGGGGGACAAAGCTGGAATGCAAGCTGTGTGGAAGCTTTGTTTGCTTGTGCCTATCGTTGTAGTTGCATCTTTAATCCCGTTTAAGGTGACATGATTTCAGGACAGGATGAAGGAAAAGCTTAAAATATCAAATCGGTATATCTGGAACAAAGACTCTTGAACAAACAAAAATAACTTCTGCAGATCAGCAATGAGCTGTTAATAATTTGTCAGAGAAATACATAGGAGAACAGCTGCTATTCCATCATTTGTCAGTAGTCTGTTCAGGTTGATGATTCAATTCTTTCCCCAGGCACACAGAATGCCAGTACCATATGTGACCATTAATTACATGTTAAACGAAAGGAAGAGAGAATAAAATACCTGCCTTCAGAGATGCCAAGTTTTTGTTATACTGGGGCAGGTGGATTCCATATGGGTCACAAGGATAAAAATCACAATTAGAAATGAGAAGACACTTAACCATCCCTGGAAAATATTGTGGATTTTCTATGCTTTTTCATAGGACCTAAAAAATAAAAGCCTGAGGCAGAATTATTTTCTAAGGATCTATGTGCCTCTTCTATATGCAAATTGCACCCTGTCCATGCAACGGAAAGTGCCATTTGTCTCATTGGCTTCCCCCTCATTCCCTCGGACTCCACTGCGAAGTTAGGTCTGTTGCTGGATGAGAAAAGTCTTGGACAGTAAGAAAAACAGGACTAGGTGACACATTTTCCATCATGGCCAAGGGGAACCTAAAGAGATATCGATTCAGTTAATATTTTTGAGGTATGTGACCATTTGGTTATTATCCAAAGCATTATATGGGTTCGCTTTTTTTAAAGGCATGACGAGTAACTCCTCAGGAGCAACTCCTCCTGACTCTTACTCAACCAGGCCTCAATGTTTTCTTACAGTCTTCTACCCACATCTCAACTGTCCACTCTGCTATACTAGGATAATTCTATTAAGAAAATACTTCTAAAATAAGGTCTTTTGTGGTTACAGGAAGAGATCTGGTGTTTCATTGTAGCTTGAAAGCGCTTCATATCTACAAGCCAAAAGTGAAATATGGCCATATTTCAGCAAGGTAGGTAAGCATATGTGTAACGGTAAACACAAGAGCAGTCCCATTAAAGGCAGTAGCTGAAATAGGTAGTGTCTGTGCCTGAAAGCTTGCTATTGAAGAGGTTTTTTTGCAAAAATCTCGTTGGTCTAATGAAAGATATCATCTCTACTATAAGTCCTGTTAACAGGTAGGCATTATTCCTATAATTTTTTCAAGGCCAACCACATACCCTGCTATATTCTACTGTTTGAATCCAAGCGCAGCCTGTTGGCCTACTGTTGCAAGTTCATCCCGATGCACTATGTATTCAGGCAGGGTTAGAACACTTGGCACAAAACAGAGCAGTGTGGTGCCTTACAGATGGACTAACTTGTTCA